ATATATACCTTGCAGTTATTGCTTTTAATACAGTTTTCTTAATACCTTAAAATTTGCCAGACTTGTCAACAAAACCTCATCTGGTACTTGAACTTCTTATGAAAGTGACAATAGCAATTAAAGAAAATACCACTGTGGCACTGCCTCCTTAATCAGCTTGTGGTTTTATTCCATTGGCACATCTTCAGCAACAGTTTACTCACTTTAAGCCACAGATGTTTTGGTGTTACTTATTTCAACTATCGATATGAAACATAAAGTAGCTGTAGATTTTTCTCCATGTACTTTTGTTTAATTGATTATCTAGTCAATACATTTACAACTTTCAGCCTTCTTTCCCCTCCATCCCCTATTGTATCAAATTCTCAATCGTACTATGTATCAGGGAAAAATAATCTTTGGTCTTCTATGCCAAAATAGTTCCAAGGCCTTTTTTTGTAATGGCAATTAAAGCTGTCAAGAGGCGTCTTGGTTATTTCATCTTCCTCTTCTTCCTCTCTTTGTTTCCTTTCTTCTCAATATCTTATTGCATTTCTTTCCCCATCCTCCAGTGCTGCAACCACCACCACTGTAGAACAGAGACCGCTCTCCCAAAATAATGAGTGGGGCTCAGTGTCTCGTTGGTACTTCCATCCTCATCCTTGTCAATGGCCATAAATGGTTTGAACTGAGTTTCAGTTAGCATAAAACCAAACTATTCCACATAGATGCACTGAGACTAAAGCATGTTTTTCATAGTATCTATGACATGATCAATTTTTTTCCTTCAGCTACTCTTTTATTCTAAGTAACTGCTGCTGTAGTGCATTGGATGTCTCTGAGGGAACCTTAGTTCTTTCACAGTACTGATGCTTTCATGCATCCCTTATTTTTTCTAGTGTCTGCTAGTGGGATTTGGTTTAAGTTTTGGACAATGAAATGGTCCTGTCTACTTGTAGGTTCCTGCACATGCACTTTGTGCCTAAGTTCCTACTGCAGATCTGAATCGTGCAGACAGTGGAGCCCAGTGAGCAATGCAGTTCTTCCAAATCCTGCCAATCAACTGAATTGCTCTCTATGCTTTATTACCTATAATAAACATTGATTATAATGAAAGCTTAAACACTTCTATGTAGACAAGCACAGTTTGGTGTCAATCTCAAGATGATTTAATCTCAATGATCCTAATGATTATTTTCTCCCCTAAGCATCTTCTCTGTAGGCTGTGGTGCCTTTCAAGACATCTTAAAGGAGCTTTATTCTGCAAGAAAATACCTTCTGTGCTAGACAATTTAAATGGTACTACAAAAAGATGAGGTCTTACATACACACATTTTTTCTAAAGGAAACTACAAGGTATCTGATGATGGGAAAGTTATAGTTACTTTTTCTTGTGGCTTCTCCACTTGCTAGTTGTGGGAAATTTTCCATTGTTTCGTGTTTAATTATTCTGGATTCCATGTTCTTTTCCCTTACTGATCAGCAAATGTGTCCATTGTACTGGTTCTTGTACTAATTCAACAGTTTCCAAACCATAAGACTACTCAGGTCCTCTTCTAGCCTTTATCCTGAGCTTTCTGAACTTTACAAGAACATAAATCATAGAGTCACTGGGTTTTTTAAACACTCTCCTGTACTCACTTGACCTTATTCTATATTCTGAAAGCTATCTCTTGGAAGATAACCTCAGTATCTGACATAATACTGTCTTCAGCAGTGAAAGTACCCTTCTGATGAAATGGAAGAATTGGGATGATTACAAAGCATTAGAACATTTTCCCCTTAGATCCTTTCTGTTTTTAAAAAAAAGTTGATATTTTCCATGTACTGTATGAACAAGCTGCATGAGCAGCTTTCTAACTTTTCTAACTTTCTAAATTTTGAAATCTCATTATTTACTTCTATTAGCTTGTGGGGTTTTTTTTCTAATAAAAATTCAAACTTATTTAAATTAGTAGATATCCCATTCATTTTAATGCTTATAATATATTCATCTGTTTTTACAGTAGAATCATAGAATCATAGAATGGTTTAGGTTGGAAGGGACCTTGAAGATCATTGAGTTCCAACACCCCCCACCATAGGCAGGGACACCTCCCACTAGATCATATTGCTCAAAGCCCCATCCAGCCTGGCCTTGAACACCTCTAGGGATGGAGCTTCCAGAACTTCTCTGGGCAACCTGTTCCGGTGCCTTACCCCCCTCAGAGTGAAAGATTTCTTCCTAATATCTAGTCTAAATCTACCCTCTTCTAATTTAAAGCCATTCCCCCTCATCCTATCACTACATGCCCTTGTAAAAATCTCTCCCCAGCTTTCCTGCAGGCCCCCTTTAGGGACTGGAAAGCCACAATAAGGTCTCCCCAGTGCCTTCTCTTCTCCAGGCTGAACAGCCCCAACTCTTTCAGGCCGTATTCATAGGAGCAGTGCTCCAGCTCTCGGGTCATCTTTGTGGCCCTCCTCTGGACCCGCTCCAACAGGTCCATTTTTTTTTCTTTATTGGGGGCTCCAGGGCTGGATACAGTACTCCAGGTGGGGTCTCACCAGAGCAGAGTAGAGGAGCAAAATCACCTCCCTTGACCTGCTGGCCACACTTCTTCTGACTCAGCCCAGGATATGGTTGGCCTTCTGGGCTGCAATCACACATTGCTGGTGCACGTTGAGCTTGCTATCAATCACCACCCCCAAGTCCTTCTCCTCAGGGCTGTTCTCAATCCATTCTGTGCCGAGCTTGTATTTGTGCTTGGGATTGCCCCGACCCAGATGTAGGACCTTGCACTTGGCCTTGTTGAACGTTATGAGGTTGGCATGGGCCCACCTCTCCAGCCTGTCCAGGTCTGGATGGCATCCCTCCCCTCCAGCATCTCTACCTCACCACACAGCTTGGTATCGTTGGCAAACTTACTGGGGGTGCACTCGATCCCACTGTCCATGTCACCAACAAAGATGTTAAATAGTACTGGTCCCAGTACCGACCCCCTGAGGAACAACATTTGTCACTGGTCTCCACTTGGACATTAAGCCATTGACCACAACTCTTTGAGTGTGACCGTCCAGCCCGTTCCTTATCCACCAAGTGGTCCATCTGTCAAATCCGTGTCTCTCCAATTTAGAGACCAGGATATTGTGTGGGACAGTGTCAAATGCTTTGCACAAGTTTAGGTAGATGACGTCAGTTGCTCTTCCCTTGTCTATTACCTTTGAAACCCTCTTGTAGAAGGTCACCAGATTTGTCAGGCATGACTTGCCCTTGGTGAAGCCATGTTGGCTGCTACCAATCACCTCCTTTATTGCCATGTGCCTTAGCAGAGTTTCCAGGAGGATCTGCTCCATGATCTTGCTGGGCACAGAGGTGAGACTCACTGTCCTGTAGTTCCCCGGGTCTTCCTTTTTTCCCTTTCTGAAAATAGGGGTTATGTTTCCCCTTTTCCAGTCGGCAGGAACCTTACCAAACTGCCACGACTTTTCAAATATGATGGATAGTGGCTTAGTAACTTTGCCTGCCAGTTCCCTCATGACCCGTGGATGTATCTCATCAGGTCCCATGGAATTGTGTACCTTGAGGTCCCTGAGGTGGTCTTGTACTTGATCTTCACCTGCAGTGGGCAGTTCCTCATTTTCCCAGTCCTCACCTTTGTCTCCTGCATCATGGGTAGTGTGGCTGTGGTCTTTGCCAGTGAAGACAGGCAAAAAAGTTGTTGAGTACCTCAGCTTTGTGTCCATCCTGGGTGACCAAGTCTTCTGTTTCCTTCCAGAGAGGGCCCACATCTTCCCTAGTCTTTCTATTTTTGCTGACATACTTATAGAAGGATTTTTTGTTTGTCTTGATGTCCCTGGCTGGCTTTAATTCAATGTGGGCTTTAGCTTGCCTAACCTGATCCCTGGCTGCTCAAACAATTTCTCTGTATTCCTCCCAGACTACCCGCCCCTGGTTCCATCCCCTATAGGCCTCCTTTTTACGTTTAAGCATGTCCAGGAGCTCCTTGTTCATCCACGCAGTCCTCCTAAGCTTTTCTGCCTGCCTTCTTCTTTGTTGGAATGCATCACTCCTGGGCTTGGAGAAGGTGACCCTTGAATATTAACCAGTACTGTCCATTGTTTCTTTGAAGGATTATTTTGAATTGGTAAACTGTTTGGCCTGTGCTTTTATGAATCCTATGAATATTCTTGTAGATTTCACAAACTTTATAATTTGATTCATTCTGTTGTTCACAGGTCTCGTGACCTCTATTTCTACATCCATCTTGCTGGGGTTTCTTTTGCCTGCAACAAAATGTGTTTTAAATTTTAAGCAGTATTTTGACTTCCTCATGACTTTCTTTCATAAATCCTGTTATATACTATTTTGGACTGTTTCTAGTCACCTTTATGCTATTTTCTGATTTACATTTTTCAGCCTAAGCTGACAATTTTCTTTGTTTATAAATACTATCAAATGGAAATGCTGGGATTTCTAATACCTCCGGTTTGTGGGGTTTTTTTCTTAAATCCAACTTCAATTTATAATTTAATCCCAAAATCACAAGGTGGAAAATGACTGGCAATTTATAATGCCTGTGAGAGTGTCATGTAATAAGTGAATTAAATTTGAAGAAAAATGCATGTTCTCACAATAGCCTTCAATTTATGTCATCTTATCTCTTGGCCTCAACTGTGGTGATATAATCTAGTCCTGGTAAGCACATTGGCGATTCAGACATCAAATTTTTTTTCCTTTTAGTGTCAGAATGTTGAAGGTGTTTTCTCTGAAAAAGTACCTTAGTTTAGTAAGAAGCTCATATATATATATAAAATATAGTTTTTTCCAAATGTCTAATTTACTTATTGAATCAAATAGACTGTATGAAACAAGGAAATTCTCTGTAAGACTTTATTCTTTCAAGGAAATCACTTATGAAGAATGTCATAGCCAAGTACTTACCTGGCAAATACCTGGAAAATCAAAGAAAAAGAGGATTAAGTCCAAATTCAACATTTTCCTGCAGGTCTTTCAGGTTGTAGTGTAAAATTCATGTGCGGGAATGGACTTCCTGTCCTTTGGATTGGAAAATGTTGGTGTCTGATAGAAGAGGCTCTGAATGACAAGCTCAACACATCCCTGTGTATCTGGGCTACATTCCAATTTTTGACAATATAAGTGCTTTTCACTTACGCTAGCAGCACCTCTGCAGAATGACTAGCTGGACCATTTAAAAAACATCCTTTATGTGGTTCTGACACATATTCCTACCTCTTGTATTCATTGCCATTGCTGCCTTATACCTCCGATTCAATTTCCCATTTTATTATTATACTTGTGATTATAAAGCAGTGACAGGCAGATCTCCAAATACTCAGAGGTCAGCCTCCGTTCAAATAGGCATCCAAAAGTGTAGATATTCGTCTGAAGTGAACTATGGACATATATAAGTCAGTTTCTGCAACCTGTTCTCCTTACTGGTATCGGATTCTTGATGGTAGAAATCAATTGGAGGACTTAAAACTAAATTGCAGAGGCTTAATTTATTTTAGAACTTATCAGCAAAAGCAGAAAATACAAATCCAGGCCACCTTGCACAGAAAATGTGTTGAGAGATTTTTTTCTCTTCCTTTCTTCCACTGGTTCATGGACTAAACTATTCATAGAATCACTATTATTGGATATCTATGATATGATAACTATTCTGGGATATCTGTTGAAATCTTCCCACTGATGTGAAACTAGAAGAAGCAAAGCTAACCAAATTGTTTTATTACCATAAGGCAAAAGAAATAGGTAAAATATCATAAACGAAAAGATAGTTATGTCTTGAAAACTAACGAAGAGTATTTAAAATTGCCTGAAATACTGAATAAGTTTATCCAGAACAAAACATAAAAAAAGTTTTAGAATTTTTTTTTCTTGTCATAAATTACAAGGAAAACAACAAATAGGGAAAAATTTAAGCAAAATAATTCTTCAACAGAAAACCTGCCAGTTGCCTTATTTAGATCAGATAAATTAAACATTTATGTTGGAATTTCTGAAGGAAACTGACTTTGAAATCAATAGGTAGCTTTAAAGATGTTTCTCATACAGTATTAATTTTGGTATATGTTTTGTAGAGACTTTTCTGCTAGCATAAGGGTATAAACTGTACTTTTCTTGTGTATTTCCTCTGAAATGATATCTTAGATATTTGTGAAGGCCCTATATATTGCACCAAGCTGTTTATGGTATGTAAGTGTTTCTAAATTTCCTTTTGGAAAAGTTATTAAGGCCAGATCTTATACACAGCCAATGTGGACAATGTGCTGTAAGTGCAGGTATAACGGAAAAAGATTTTTAAACGGCCTTTTTTTCACTGCCTTATTGGCCGTGTTGCTAACAATGATCTCAGTGTGACCATATTCTTTGTAGAGGCAGTCTGCCTGGAGGGCTCTGCCAACCTGTACTGTTCTCTGATAGTGATCTGAGGCAGAAAGTTCAACACAGACTGGTGTGGCAAAGCAAAGAGGGATCAGTTTTCAGCCCCTCTTGTAGTTCAAGAACGGTAAGCAGTTTCTAAACTCCTGCCAAGGACATCAGCTCTTGCTGCATCAGTATTCTTGTCTAACTCCGCTTAAAAAGGTGTAGAGTTAGATGACAGAGGCAGTGCTGTGCAGGTGCAACGTTCACTGCGTCTGTCGGTTAGATGATTTAGACCTTCCTTCATCACTGCTTTTGCTCGAAGTCACTGACTCCTCTCCCGTATGGAAACTCATTTTTTCACCACTGTGTACTGCTTCCATATCCATTCCTTAGCCTACCTCATCCACCTTATAAACATGTGCAACTTCAAACAGTTTTATTGCCCTCTTTACAACAGGTGCCAAACTCTGTAAATAGGATGAAAAAAAAAATAAAATAAAAAATAGGATGGTATAAATGTAAGCAGGGCAATGTTCCTGGTAATTTTGGCTCAAATGTGAAGTCAAGGTGTATTGGCTTAACAAACTGTTATCAGCCGAACTATGCTTCTCTATCCATGTCTGCTGTAAGATGTTGCAGTTTATCGAACATTTGAACACAAGAGGATGCCTTGCATGACCTCACACTGACAGTTACGGTAGCTCGGCTGATGTGCCATATGCTGTTTTATTGCTGTAAGTCAGGGGTAGGGCAGAGCCCTCTGCCAGTGAAAGGTAGAAGGCTTGAAGGGAAAAGTTTTAGCACACCCTCTCTTGGAATGTCTTAAAAATTAATAGTGGGAACTAAAGCTAACATCAGCCACAACCCCGCACTCGCACACCTCATCCACACACACACATGCACACTATCTAAGCTCTTCAAATGTAAGAGATAACAGGGGTATAGGCTAGGCAGGTGATCTCTCTTCAACCAGAATAATTTTACTGGAGCCACATGGATGAAAAATGTTGATGTGCACAGTAATTTACATGACAGCATAAATACAGGATGTCTTACCTAAGTCCCAGCTCTGGATAAGGATGCAGGAGCTCATATCTTTATTTGATTCTGTTTACTGGATGCTTTGAAGGGAGCAGAGGAGAGAAGAAAAAAGAAATTTCAGTGGACAAAAAAGAAACATAGTGAAATAATTAAATTTCAGTCTTTGTTCTCAAGGACTTCTCTTGAGCTTATCTAATGAAAGTGAACTACATTCTTCTCCTTTAAATGGTTGTTAATGCTGCTCTCAGGTAAGAGAGTGAAGGAGGTAGTATAATTGAAGATTTAATTTTGTACTGTATCATAAACCAGCTTTGCTAAAGCCCAACAACAGTGAAGTGGTTCATTACATTTTAGTGTCTGATGTAAATAAGATCCTTGAGTGTGTAAGATCAATCTTTCCAAGGGCCAAAATATTTTGCTGTTCCCAAGTTTGGTTTCTTTGTTCAGACTGAATAAGCTCATCTCACATGCATTTAGAAAACAACTTGAATTTTAATTTTATTCTAATGGCTAATTGTGTCTGCTATGGTTATGTGCCTCTAATTCCCACAAAAAAGCCCCTCAGCTTTTGCAGAAAGACTCTTTGGAGATTTTATAGAGTTATTGACCAAATCAGAAATGTGCAGTCAAGTAAAGCAGAGTTACTATGATCAGTGTGTCAGAGGCAGAATTTTTTCCATTGCCAGCTATCCAGGGAGGAGGAAAGACACGACTGCAGACTTTTCCACAACAGAAAGGCATTTTATAAGTGGTAGATGTTTGTAAGCTAGTCCCTTTTATTTGACCAGTTATTTTGGTCCCACTTTGTTCAACTTCCATTGTCACTGCTTACTTCATAACTCCATTGAAAGAGGAGTCATCTTAGACTGTAAAGCAGAAGTTTTAAAGAGAGGACCAAGGGAATTTAACTATTTTACATTCTCTTTATTTTAATGTCATAACATTTTATCTATGATATGAGACAGAATTTTTCGGTGGTACTGAAAACCTAACTCCTTTTGTGATGCGTTTATTTGATTTGTCTGTCCATGTCAATCAGTTTCTATCTCATCCTGTTTAAAAAAAAGACACCTAAATACTAGAAGAAGGCTGTATGATGTCTTCTGACCAGAGCTTCCACTGACCTCAGTGTGAGTTCAGTGTGCAGAACTCTTCATCTTTTCTTCTTCTTACTTAGTTAAAAAAGAATAAAGCCAACATCAGACCCACTTTTGAAGTTATGGCTGAGTTATACATATTTGCTACTGGTGTTCCAGGGAAAACAATTTCCTAAGTTTGAGTGTTTAGCATGGAGCAGAAGTGACAGAACAGAGTGCCAGTGGAGAACATTATATAGAGCTATTTAAAGGTTGTCCTCGACCTTTCCACCTCTGTTAAAGCCTCTTGAGAGCAATTTAAACTTTTCTTCTGCCAGTTGCCTACTGTCAGTTCCATATTTGTGTTTGTTCTCTCCATGCTATGGATGTAAGGTATCAGAGCACATTATGGGGAGATCTTCCAAATCCTCTTTTAAACTCTTGTCTGAGAAAGAGCCCTCAGATTCAGCCAGGTTGACCTTGGCAGTTAAAGTTCACAGCAAGACTTTTGTTTCCTTGATCTCTCAAGCCAACTTTTAACAGACAGTGGATTGAAATCTGACCTGAATGAAGACAATGGAAGTTTTATTATTGACACTGATGAGTCCAAGATTTTAAATACTTTTTATGTATGAATTTTCTTCTGAGATACATACATGCATGCATACATATCTGTATATATGCAAATAGGTACAGGTATCTAATACTGGTAAATTACAAATTTCTTGTACCAAAAATGTTCTACCAACATGACTTCTGTCCATTTATGAAGTGCTATAAAGAGTGCTATTTTCAACACAGTCTTCATGGCAAAATTATTAAATACTGCAGGTACTTACACATGCAGACTTCTTCACTGCTCAAACCTGTTATGTGTAATGCCCTAAAAAGTATGTTCTACCACAAATACGTTCTATCACAAAGACACTGCTAAATTGTTGGAAAGACACTTATTGTATTTTGAGGAATCCTACAGAATTCCTGATCTCTAACCATAAACATAAAATACAGAAGTGGAGCAAGAAGTAAGTTACTGGTGGAGGTTGCATTCTTTGATCTCTTTTCTTTTATTCTTAACTTCAGCATTGTCATTTGAGAAGGAACATAAAAGCATGTCAATGTTATGCTTACAGATCAGGAAAAGCCCACAACAGGTTCATGTAGGCTGTCAGTGCTCACATCTGGCTAGTTTGGAGGTGTTATTATATGTATTTCTGTGTCAAAATTGGTGTAATATGTGGAAGATCAGCTTTTATTTCATGTCCGAGTGAGTTGTCATAATTTAATACAAGCATGGAAAAAGCGCAGCAGCTGCTCTGAAGCAATTTGAAAGGAGTTACACAAATTTATCACAGGCAGAATAGCACCTTATTATTGCAAAATCTGCTTTTGCTAATTGCCACTGTAGCCGTCATTCTCTTGTAGTCTGAGCGCAGGAAATAAATACAATGATCACTGGTAATAGTTTTGGATATTTGTTGGCGTATTTATGGTAACTGTGCCTATCTCTCAGCTATTTTGTTTCAAAATACCGCTTCTAGAAATGCAAAGTGCTAACTGAGAAAACTTTTTTTCTTTATTCCTTCCTTTGAAGACAAAGACAGGGATTTGTTTGCTGCAGGATGGTAACCAGGAGCCTTTCAAAGTGCGACTGCACTTAGCCAAAGATATTTTGATGATCCAGGAGCAGGATGTGATCTGTGTGTCTGGTGAGCCTTTCTATTCTGGTGTAAGTAGTTTTTATTTTTTCTTTAAGATGTACTTTATACAAAGCAAAAATTCTCTGTGTGTGTGTGTGCGTGCGCACGCGTGCACACGCATATGTATGCATTTACTCCCACAGTTTGATATTTCATTTTATACTGTTAACACTAAGTCTATTTTAACAGATCATCTTTTGAGGGTAAATCTTAGCAATACTCATTTAAGCAACAGCAATAAGATAATTAATAAGTTATGTGCATGGCTACAGTGTTGTTTCTCTGTACTCACCTTTGAATATTGGAGCTGCTGAATGTGATAGGAATGACACAAGCAGTGATTTTTGCAGTGAATACAGATATCTCAATGTACTTACATATCTGAGTATTGTCCGTGGAGTTGATAAGACAGTTGATGGGTAACTGTTATGGCAGGACTCTGCTGGTAGAGGAATCATCTGCTATCCTCTGTTGCTTTGGCTGCTTCATATGGTAGCACACCACCAGACTTCATGCTTGCTGCCAGTCCACGCTGCGAGGGTCACTAGTTTTACCAGCACATCATGTTAATAAAGATGGACTTCAGCTGGCACAGTGTAATAGTGTGATTTATGTATTACTGTTTTTACATGATGTGTCAGTTTTCTTATTTAAGCATCATATTAAATTTTGTGCATAAGAAACTGAGCTTTGTAGACAATTATTTGGCAGATCTGTAAAATGCTATATAGAATAATATTGTAGGTTTTGGAGCTACGATAATGTTGAGTTTTTATTTAATTCTAGAAGAAAGATAAAAAAATAATAGAAACCATTTACTATTCATTTCTATAGACAGTTTTATAGATACTGTAATTATATTTTGTAGAGATATTTTTAAGATTTATGGGGAACTATCATAAACATTCTGCTCTCCCTTTGAGCTAAATAAAATTATCATAGGATTTCACGTTAAATCTTGTGAGGCATAGTAGTGTAATATCTGTTTATGCAAATGTTATGTGACTGCTATTATGTCTGTCTGTTTTATTAATTAATTGTTGCTGTTGTCACATCCCTATATCTCTAAATGCAAGTACAATAAAAAGATTCAAAGAAGAAACCAGAAATAAATTGGTAGAATGTTAGCAGTGCTAACAGTGTGGAAGATTAATGGAAAGCATATAGGAGAATCCATCTCACTGTTAGGAACATCTCAAGGAGAATGGTTCTGAGTTTTTCTCCGAAACAAGAGGAACACACTGCCTACACTGTCTCCATAAAGGCTGGGTTTATTTGCATGACAAATCTGACATTAGTTTTTGACAGTTCCATGCTGTACAAATACAATTTACTAATACAGGTCTCTGTGATTTATATGGAATATAGATGCTCCTTTTACCAATTAGACCTTACTGTTCCTGTTCCTCAACATGCAGGACATCTAGCAGCCCATACAGAAAGAAATTATGAGTTCAAACCCAGGTTATAGTTGTTCATATAGCAACACACACTGTGGCGCCATTACTTTACCAACCCCATTCTGGGGTCTGATATCTCTACGATATATAATTCTTAGTAACAGATTTTATCACTCAAAAATATGACTTTCATTATTGTGCTGTAATATCTATTACTACTTCTGAACTTGTTATTTAAATGTCTTCATGAAGTGCATGTTTAATTTCTTTTCCATTTCACAGCAAGGCTTTCTCTTACAGTTCTGCCCTCTTAAGTTTTGCAGTGACACTGTAGAAAATAGTGGATGATTTGCTTCACCAATTACACCCCCCCATCTTATTTGCATATTGAATGCATAACTCATTAACTGATTGATATTAGTGTGGTGATGAGAAGTTTCTTTTCTCTTGGAACTGTCATTGTTAGACTAGTGACTTTGAGCACTTTACCCTGATTTCCTCTGGGATTAAAGCTAGGTCTTGAATCAGTAGGTTCATTCCAACTAAGGATGATTGGCATTCCACAGACAGTTAACTGTCCTTTTGTCACAGGTCATTTAAATCATCTGGAATCATATGCTTTGATTGTATAGTATGACGAGACAAGTCCCACGGGCTTCCTGTTTTTTTTTTCATTTTTTCCTCATTTTTATTCCTGATTTAATAGGTTTCTTTTTTTGTTTGTTTGTTTGGTTGGTTTTTTGTATGTTTTACTTTGCTTGGTTGATTTCGTTATGTTCCCTCTGTCATTCTAGATGACTGACCACATCTGTTTTTCTTTTACATGCATTCTACAGAACAGGAGCAAGTGTTTTCATTAGCAACTGACATTGAATGCCTCATAGAATAAAGTCTAAAGAATAAAAATAATATTTGTAACTGAGGAACAATAGTGTTGTTAAATTTTACAGACAAGTAGCTACAGTAAAGGTTCTTTTTAATGTGTTTTAATAAATAATCTTCAAATAATTTAATTATAAGGATTTACTTATTCACTTCTGCACTGTGAAGGAACAAAAGGCTGTTACTATGTTTCTAGTTCAGAACAGTGTCTCTTCTGTTTGTTGGGTCTGAATCAATTTGCATGCTCCTCTGTGTAGGACAGACTTTAAACAGGCACTTAACGTTCCAGCGCTATCCTGATCTGCATCCTGTGGAACAATCTAAATTAAATCAATGGCTCCTTAGGAATGAGGTGCTGCTTAATGTGAGTACATGGGATAAGGACCTAGTTCTTAATTTAGAATGCTTCCTTTTTGGTTGAAAACAGTTCTACTTTCCCAAAAATGAAGAGGTGCAAGGGAACCTTGTTTCCTCTTTCATTGTATATGGTTTGGAGTAAGAGAATACTGTGCGTAAAAGGTTATAAGCAACATAAACAGTGTTAAACACTAAAAAAGAACTAAAACACTAAAAAACCTAAAAACTGTTTCTTTAGCAGGCTGAACAAAATTATAGTGTTAGTCAGGGTCCTGCAGTGATTGTACTTGTAGCAATTCCATAAAGCATCAAAGGTCGTTCAAACGATCATGGATTAGATGTAAATTTGAGCATCAGTTGCATCAATAAGTATTACAGAGATTTCTTTATGCATGCAACAAGACAGACTTGCATTCCAAGAGACAGAAACATAGTGGGTTCTGCATTGTGCTGCTAGTGGATATCTGACATAGATTTGAACTCCAGTGCGAATGACCAAAAGTGAGATGAGAACATTTTATGAAAATCAACGCCTAGAAGGCAGTACCTTTACTAATCTGAATTAAATCCTTGCCTGTAGAGAGGCTTTAAAGTATGGGAAGTGTATGCCTGAGTTGGAGTAGCTTGTGTGCTGAAGATAGCCATAAGTCTCTCTGTGGGAAAATTGGAAGATAAGACCAGTGACTGTTAGATCAGGTAAACCTTTTTCTCCACTAAAGTACTGGACCCTCACAAAATATTTTTTCATAATTGTGGTATTGCCAGCAGATAGCTTTCTTATCATTATAATCATCATAAATCTCCATGTCAGTTACTTGTGGTGCAGAATGCTTATGTTTTTTACTCTTTTCATCTGAAAAAGAATTTCCCTGAAAACAGCTGAATTAAACCATGTAGGAACTTCATCAGTATTAGTGGCAGAAGTGTAGAATATTCCTTTTAAACATATTTCTTGAATTACATGAAATAATACTCACAAAAGTTTGCTATATGGTGTTACAGATGGCAGTGTGCAATAAGGCAACCCCCAGTCTTTTTAGACCTATAGCTCAATAGCTTGGACTAACATGGACAGCCTAATACTGACCTTGCTGACAGTTATGATGGGAGGGGGGATAACCTAAGATATGGCATGTCTGATCTGAAATGTGACTCTTCTGTAGGTTATTCCTAGGAAAAAGTTTTAATCTTTGGAATTCCAGAATCAAAATTTTTATTTTAGAGTTAATCCTCGCAATTACCATCACCTTTCATGAACATCTGAAATTAAAGTAAAAGGATTATTGTGCTTTATCTAGAAAAGTAGTTTATCTGTCTAGGCAGTCATGTTTTTTTCCTTCTTTTCTTTAATAGATTTTATTTGTTTGCTGATTGTACTGAGAAATTTTTCTAATAGTCTGTACTTAGAAATTTTTCTTATAGAGTGTATGTGCACGTGAGATCCATAAACCAAGGATATGACAACATACCATATGACAAGATGGATGATTTGAATTAGCTACTGTTTTTCTAAAAGACTGAAAATGAACTGTGAGCAGCTGGCAAATTGCTAAGTTCAGCTACAAGGACAGTTTGCATTTTCACCTAGTTTTCTTAAAAGTTCTGTTAAAAAGTCATAGAGATTCCAAAATACTGCTAACTCACTTGGTGATAAGATATAGATTTTTCTCATTTCTTTCGAGTAATGTAATTCTACGGTGCTGTATAGTAACGTGTTATTTAATTAAATATTAATGATTTCTTTCAGGATTTTTTTTAATTAAGATTTTTTAGAAGATCATTCATCATTTCAATACTAGTAAAAAGTGAACGCACATTTTGTGAATTTATGGAGCAACAGCTCCCACAGTAGTATCGTGTTTGTCCAAGGATTTAACTGAGGTTCATACAGATGTATCTGATGTAACCTGTGGACTGTAATTGGTTTTTTGATAGAGGAAAAAAAATTCATCAATAAACACCTTTTCCAAGATCAGAAAGTAACACTGACTTAAATTGTTGAACTGTGGCCAGATCTGATTTCTGGCACTATTAATCACACAATCATTCTTCTGTTTCTTGTAAAGATAAGAACATGTTATATCTCACTTTTAAAGTTGTCCTTTTGCTATTGTGAAATCAAGTGTGTTGAAAGATTTATAACTGTATAGAAAGTCCATATGGTACTACAAAATCGTGTTAGAGATAGTGTTTCAACTTAGAAACTTTGCACAATAGCATATTTTTCATTATTTTTTTATTTAAATGATAAAGCTATTATTAAACTATAAGTTTAAATTCAGAACATATCACTTAACTGTGACTTGCCTAAGCGCTCAGACGAAGTTATTACATTTCCCTTGCTTGCACATTTTAGAGTTTTGGAGACTTCCTGAGAGTGAGTTTTAAAT